AAGCAAACCAGGACGCAGCATCCTCCACGGCCTCTGCATCAGCTCCTGCCTCCAGGTTCCTGCCCTGTTTGAGTTCCTGTTCTGACTTCCTTCAGCGATGAACAGTGATTTGGAAGTATAAACCACATACACCCTTTCCTCCCCAACTTGGTTTTGGTTATAGTGTTTCATCACAGCAATAGAAACCCTGACTAGGGCAGACCATTAAAGAAAATCCTGGAAGCTGGGCAGTGGTGGCACAAGCCTTTAATCCGGGAACTTGGAAGGCAGAGGCAGGTGTGAGTCTGAGGCCATATGGTCTACAAAGTGAGTTCCAGGACAGGCTCCAAAGTTGCACAGAGAAACCCTGTCTCAGAAAACAAAAAAGAAGATCCTGGAAGCCAGGCTGTAGTGGCACATACCTTTAATCCCAGAATTTTAGGAGATAGATGGATCTCTGAGTTCTAGGCCAGCCTGGTCTATAGAGTGAGTTCCAGGACAGGCAGGACTACACAGAGAAATCCTGTCTCAAAAAGCAAGCAAGCAAACAGACAGACAAAACAACAAATCCCCAAAAAAGTCCTGGAAAAGGGTCACCCTAAGTGAAGCCTTATCTTCATATGGACATGATTAGCAGAGCCAAATGAGACCCTTCAGAGAACTAGCCCAGGCTTGGCTTTACCGGGCCTGCAGGAGGTTCCTGCAGCCAGGAACACAAGTCCATAAACTGGGCTCAAACAAATCTATTCTCTCCTGTTATGCAAAGGAGACACGGTGCTTTCAGGAAAGCCCTGCTTCACCTGAGGGCCTGTCACAGGCCTTGTCAGCCTTGGTGTCCCTGGGCTTGTACACATGTTGCTCTGAGCTCTGCTGTCACAGGCCATCCTGTGCATCTATGTGTCCTTCCCTCTAAGGACGGCAGGAGCTGAGGCAGGGGCAGGGCCGGCCTCTCCAGCATGGCCTTATCTTACCTCACTGCACTCTCAGATCTCCAGTGAGTCATACTCTGAAGCTCTGGGTCAGAACTTGAATCCGAGTTCTGTGGGGATGCAACTCATCCCACAGGCATCCCGCAATCAGTGTCTGGCTGTAGTCACCACTGAATTGCTAGGCCAAGACTTTGTGGAGGGAAAAACTGTCGTCTTCTGCATCTGAAGTTACTCAGACACCGTGTATGAAGGTATGTGTCTGTGCACAGAATTCTGACTCCTTCCTCAGGATTTGGTGATAAAAAAGGCTTCTAGGCCAATGAGATGGTTCAGTGGGCAAGACCACTGTGGTAGAATATTATTTTAAGGCATGTGATTTTTGTTTATGCCAAATTTGTTTAACTCTGTGAAGCTGTGATTCCTTACCCGTCTAAAACACCTAGTGGTCCTAATAAAGAGCTGAACGGCCAGTAGTGAAGCAGGAGTAACAATAGGTGGGGCTGGCAGGCAGAGAGGATAAACAGAAGGAGAAAGGAGGAGAGCAATGAGAAAACAAGGGGAGGAGGATGTCAAGTGTCAGCCAGCCACCCGGCCACCCGTCCACTCAGCCACCCGGCCACCCGGCCCATCCACCCAGCCACCCGTCCACCCGTCCACCCAGCCACCCGGCCACCCGGCCCATCCACCCATCCACCCGGCCACCCATCCATCCAGCCGCCCAGCCACCCGGCCACCCAGCCACCCGGCCACCTGGCCACCCATCCATCCGGCCACCCGGCCACCCGGCCATCCAGTCACCCGGCCATCCAGCCATCCAGTTAGTCACCCAGCCACCCAGCCACCCGGCCACCTGCCCAGCCACAGAATAAGAAGGAAAGTAAGATATACAGAAATAAGAAAGATAAAAGCCCAGAAGGGAAAGATAGTTGGGATAACTTAAGTAGAGCTGGCAAGAAGCAAGCCAAGCTAAGGCCAGGCATTCATAACAAAGAAAAAGCCTCCATGTACTTAATTGTAAGTTAGGTGCCAGGCCCCCCAAAGAGCCAAAAAGAGTAAAAGAATAAAAAACAACACAAAGACCACTTGACTTGAAAGCCTGGAACATGCATGATGGAAGGAGATAACGTATTCCTCTGAATCTACCCATGTGGTATGTACACACACACACACAATAAATGTAATACAAACTGAAATACAGGTGGGCAGTGGTAGCTCATGCCTTTAATTCCAGGACTCAGGAGGCAGAGGCTGGTGGATCTCTATGAGTTTGAGGCCAGCCTGGTCTACAGAGTGAGTTCCAGGACAGGCTCAGAAGCTACAGAGAGAAACCCTGTCTTAAAAATTGAAAAACAAAAAAATAAAAAGTCCCCATGGGTAGTGATATTTTGTTTATGATCTGATAAAGCTCACCTGAAGATCAGAGTGCAGAGCTAAACCACTAGTTATGCACACACCTAGTTAGGATCTAAACCACTAGTTATCCACACACCTAGTTAAGATCTAAGTCTCTAGTTAGCCATAGAAGACAGGCACTCTGGAGACAGAGGCAGATGGATCTCTGTGAGTTCAAGGCCACCCTGGGCTACACGAGAGTGACTCAGTCTAAAGAGAAACAGAGCTCACACCTTTAATCCCAGCACTTGAGAGGATGTAAGGCAGGAGCTCAGTGCAGTCTCAGGGCAGTATGTTTAGTGGAGAGCATTGCAGTCTGCACTCACACTGAGGACAGGATCCTTCCCCCCCCCCTTTGCTCTGAGCCTTGGTGGAGGTGAGAACTCTTCTAGGAGCTTGGCTGCTTTGCTTTTCTGATCTTCAACTTGAACCCCAACATTTGTCTCCTGGTTTTTATTAATCGTGCCCCACCCATGACTATACCCTGGAATGACTATACCCTGGAATGTTACTTGGGACATTTTGACAGTGCATTCAATTATTCAAAATTGTCACCACAAACTGATGAGGCCTATAAAACAGAATGAAGGCAAGACAGGTGTGGTGCTACATGACAATAAATCCCAGCACTTAGGAGGCAGAGGCCAGCGGATCTTTTGAGTTCCAGGCCTCAAGAGTTCAACAGTTGGGGCTCGAGAGATGACTTAAGACTGCTCTTCCAGAGGTCCTGAGTTCAAATCCTACCACCACATGGTAGCTCACACCATCTATAATGTGTGTGCAGAGAGAACACTGTACACATAGAAAATACATAAATCTTTTTTAAAAAGAGCTCAACACAGTGCTGTGAGTTGCAAGACAGTCAGAGCTACATAGTGAGTCCCTGTTTCAAACAAACAAACAAACACAAAAACAAAAAAAACAAAAATAGCCCAAAAGGAAAAAGGCATTTGAGTCCCTTGCCAGTGAAGGCGTGGCGGTAGGACACTTCGCCCTGGAACCTTGTGTTAACGCTCTCCTCTCAAGCCCTCTCAAGCCTTCCTGCTCCTTTGTGCTCCAGAAGCCTGAGAGCTGCTACGGCTCATGTGCCTGTCCTGCCCTTCACGAGGCTGTAGCTCACAGCCAAGAGTACAAACAACTGCCAGTTTTCTGTGGCTGGACAATCCCCATGGAGCAGGGGTGGGACACTCATAGATGCACTCCAACGTTGTGTACTCACATTCAACACAGGGAAGAAATTCCTCTGACAATGAGGATGGCTATGTGCAGTGACGAATTACATTTATTGTTGGTGTTGAGGAGCAAATCTAGGGCCTTGATCATACAAGGAAGGCACTGTCTCTATATCCTTGCCTACTTAAAATTTTCAATTTGTTTTTGGTAGAGATCCTTATTTAGTCCGTGCTGGCCTTGAACTCACAATTTTCTTCCCTCAGTTGCTGCAATCACGGTATGCGCCACCACGTCTGCCTAAATCTTAAATGTGGTGTGTGTGTATGTGTGTATTATATGCCATTGTGTGCCCATGTGTGTACAGATGTCTCATCATGTCAAGCCAAGGAGCAACACTGGATGACTCTATATAATTTAAGTCCTTATGCTTGTACAGCAAGCACATTACCCACTGAACTACATCCCCATCCGTTCAAATGTTCTTGCTTTGGCAGGGGAGGGTTTGAGGCAGAGTCTCAATATGTAACTCAGGTTGGCCTGGAACTCTCTATGTAGACCAGGCTGGTCCCAAATTTACAGAGTTCTGCTGGGATTAAAGGGGAGCATCACTGTGCCTGGCCCTTGAAATGTTCCTAAGCATGGCATTCAGTAGAGGGAATCCTGTCCACCTGGGCCTCCATGGCAAGGTAACAGAAGCCATAGGCAGAGGAATGAATCAATGAGGAGGGAAATCAGAATACAGCTGCCTTGGGTAAGCAGGTAGGGTGTAGGGATCTTTATGGGGTGAAGACATGCTTGCTGGAGGAGCACATGCCACATGCAGCCGTCAGGGTCACTGCTCAGGAGTGGGTACACCTCATTAAAAAAAACACGGCAAGGTAAACAAAACCATTTGCAGGCCCGGGAGGCCCAGGACAATGCCGTTCCTGGCCTCTCCCAGTCCAAGGCTACCTCTAGGCCCTCTGAGCGCCTCTGCCTAAGAACTTACTTCTGCCAACAACTGCAACAGCTTAGGCAGGTTTGTCTCCATGGTGGCAGTACCCACCTCTAAAAGGAAGTGAGTTGGGAAGGTGCATTGGCTCAATAGGTGACCGATACTTACCCGGTAGTCTGTGGTGGAAGGAGAGACCCAACTCCACAGAGTTGGCTGTGGTACACACATGCTCCCCCCAACAATAATAATAAATAAAATTAACAGACTGGGTTAGCAAATTTCATCGTCTAGAGAGATGGTGACACGGCCTAAGCATTTAACAATGAATGAGCGGCTTGAAAGACTCAACAGTGATTTTACACTGCCACCTAGTGCCTGCCTGAGCTTTTCTTCACGGCTGGGCATGCCAAGTGTCTGGATGTCAGGTGTTAGAGCTTCAAATGTTAGAAAGCAGAGAAGACTACATACTGGCATGCCTACTTTAACCCTGTAAAGGTCGGGCTAGACTGAGAAAACCCAAACCAACCTAGTGAGCACTGGAGTCTCTTCTGCAGCTGTGGAGGTAAGGCTCCTCCAGCCAGCAGGGGGCTCACCTGTGCCTCCTGTCCCGGGAGGAGTCCGTGTGTCCGCAGAGTTTCCATAGCCTGGTCTCTCTCCAATGACACAGCCTTCAGCAATGTCTCCAGCCTATGCAGTGCCTTCTCTGTCTCCTCGAGCTTAGCAGCCACCTGCGAAAATGTCCATACGTGGGCAGTTCTTGTCTTTAGGGCACAGAGACCAGGCTCCCTCCTACTTAAAAAGTGGATAGCCACAAGATCCGATACATATGTAGCACTCAGAATGCTAGGGCTACCCTCCAAGGGCAGGGGAGGACTTTCCTATCCAGCTTTGCCCTGGCTGGGGAGGGGCCATCCCAACCAGTAGGGACCATCTCAGCCTTCCCCAAACCATGCTGCTGTTAGGAGAAATGGCCTATAGCCTATACAATAAATATATTTGCGGATAGGGCAGACTTATTTGCATTCAGGCTGGCCTTGAACTTGGGATTCTACTGCCTCCTTTTCCTGAGCACCTGGGATTACAGGGCCCCATCACTCCACCAGCATGACTGTGACTCACTGCTATAAATTAACTTGTATTTGAGGTTTAGTGTCTTCTGAGTTAAAAAATAATATAGCAAGGGCCAAGCCCATCCTGTACAGTACCACATATACTACACAGCCAGAACTACCCAACACACCTGATCTCTGGCCTTGGTCAGCCCTTGGATCAAAGTCTCGGATTTCTGGATCTGGTCTCGTTCAACATCATCGCAACGGCGCTGCCAGTCTAGGCCTAGCTGCACCTGGTCACGCTCCAGGCTCTGTTCCCTTTCCACTGCCAGGGACAGTTGCTGTTTGTACCTACAGACACAGTTCAATGCCCAAGTTAACTTTCTTTCCTGAGGTTCCTTCAACATGAAGAGCATGGGGGAATTCGGGATGAGGGGCTGATGTGATGCTCTGCCATGTCCTTCCCATCAAGCACAGCTGGTTCTGAGGAAGGATGCGTGTGTGGTTCAGGGAGAAGCTGTCCTATGGGGGACCTGGAGGAACAAGAGCACCTGGGGACAGGTGGACATGATGGGCAGGTGTCAGCATTCACCAAATGCTGGAGAAAACAGTGCTGCTGGAAGGAGGTGGCCACACTTAGCAGAGCGAGCCAGTGTGCAAACAGGGAGGGGAGGCAGTCAAACCTAAACTGGGACGGTGTAAGTCCTCTAATAGAGACCTAGGAGGCAAAACTGGAGCATGTGCAGTGCACTGTAACAGGAAGGCTGGGAAAGCAAGAGGAGCAGAGGGGCCACTTCAGACAGCAGTCTGTGGACAAAAGCTGACAAACAGACAAACAGGCCTTTTTATACTGGTACAAATGCCAGCATGGTCAGGGAGAGCTAGTACAATCCTAAATGCAGATACACTTGAATTACTTCACATCTGGATAGAGACAGAGCTGAGAAGCAGCTATGCCTAAGCATGATGGGGAGTCTTTATACCTTTCTGTGAACCAGCAGGCAGATCACATGGACACAGACACGGGAGACAAGAACACGGTTTCCCACCAGTGTTCCACCAGCCCAGACTGCAACAAGGGCATGTTCTATGTTGGTCTATTTAGCCAGCCATCAGGGCAGAGCACATTCCAAAGCCACGAAACAGATTGCAGAGGAAATCAAGTGTGCAAGGTGCATTCTACATGCACAGCAGGGTCAGGTCAGCATCACCGACAAATGGTGCCTGGAACTAAAATTACCTAAGATTAGGCAACATGGCTCTAAATCATCTCCTGACCAGAGAAGCACAAACAAGGAGACTCAGCATTTTAGGTGAGTAACACCAGTGCCTGAAAGCAAGCTTATAAAACAAATTACATCTGATGGAACGATGTCTCAGAGTTAATCAACTCGGCTCCACTGTCAGGATCAATCAGAACAACAAACCAAACCCAAAGGAAATAGAAAAAAAATAGCAATAAAACTGAGAGAGAAAAAAAGACAATTAAAAATAATCAAATCTCAAATCGAAAAGCTGTTTCTTCACAAAGAACAGCAAAATTGATAGAACTGATAAGCCTCTAGTGAGGCTGGCTGGTCTGGGAAAGGAGAGACCATCTGATGACCAGTGTCAGTGTCATGAGCAAGAGGGGCCCTTGCTTTCCACACACATACAGTAAGGTGACAGCAACCAAGAACAGGGTCAAAACCAGATGAAGTGGACAGACAGACACAAAGTACCAAAATGGACTTTTTTTTTTTTAAAGCAGCTAGCTGGGCAATGGTGGCGCACGCCTTTAGTCCCAGCACTCCGGAGGCAGAGCCAGGCGGATCTCTGCGAGTTTGAGGCCAGCCTGGTCTATAGAGCCAGTTCCAGGACAGCCAGAGCTGTTGTTACACAGCAAAACCCTGTCTTGGACCCTTCCCCACCAAAAATATAAGCAGATATAGACTCAAGCATCATAAGACTACTAATACTCAAAAAGAATCTGTGGTATCCTCAAAGTAATAAAATCAAAGGAGCCAGAGTGAAAAGCCCCATGGTAGCCTCCAGTCAGACTTCCGTCCAGGTGGACCTACCCCAGGGCGCCAGCAGACGGGAGTGGGGGCAGTCAGGGCTGGGTCAGAGAGAGAGGGTAGGGTACATGTGTGTACATGTCCAGACTCATCATGATCTTCATTCAAGCATATGTTCTTACAATGAACGGAGAACATGTTTTTAAATTTGTTTTGTTTCTTTCTTTCTTTTCTTTTCTTTTTTTTTTTTTTTTTTTTTGAGACAGGGTCTCTTTATGTAGCCTTGGCTGTCCTGGAATGCTATGTGAATCAAGCTGGTCTTGAACTCATGGCGATCTGCCAGCTTCTGCTTCCACAGTGCTGGGATTAAAGCTAGAACACAAGCATGTTGAAGGCAGAGGAAGGCAGCCACTGCTCAGCACTTTGAAGACTAAGAGATTTCATATCAAAGTGTCTGGACAAACCCTCTTGGCTTGGATGTTTGCTCTCTTTACCACCATGGTCTGCTTGCATCTCCGTTACCATTCCTCCCCCAGGACACTCAGGGCCAAGTTTGTTTTCTGTGGTTCCTATCCCAGGGACCTGTGACGGTTCTGTCTGCAGGAGGTACTCGGGGACAGTACCTGTCTATGTCCTTCTGGAACCCAGCCACCTGTGCCTTGAGCTTTGCCTCTTCTTCCTGTAGCATCTGAACCTGAAGGTCTTTGGAGACAGCCTCCTTGGACATCTGAGTGATCTGGGCATCCCAGGCAGCTTTCAAAGCTGCTGCATCTTTGTGAAGTCTGCACGGGAAGAAGTGTGTGAATACAGCTGGTTCCTTATACTCCCTCATGCTCCTATACAGCTTCGGAGGAAAACAGAGTTGCCCAGTCCTCATAGAAAAGCCGCATCAGAAACCAAACCATTGCCTACATTAATGCCATAGTTCCACTCCATGGAAATGTTAACTAATTGACTATAAAGGCCAAGTTAAGCAGGGTGAAAAGGTGATCTGTACTCAGAGCCTATGGGATTGAGGACTGAGGAAGTGCTGTTGGTGACCAGCCTTTGCACCCTTCACTGTGCCCAATGCAACACCTGACACATCTCAGTGACAAGTACAAGACTCTGGGGGCCATCGTTAGCTTGGCAGGAGAACCAGACAAGTCCCGGAGACAGCAGAGGTGCTAGGTGGCCTTCTCTAGGGAAGGCCTTGTACTGATCCAAACAAGACTGTCCCTCTTCATAGGGACAGCTCTGTTTCTGCCCTGGGATGCATCGGTGATCACAGAGCTCTTGGGGCTCTGTGCTAACGAGCTGTCCAGTGTGGCATGACAAAAAGACATGAATAGCTGCCCCCACAGGCTACCCTTGGTCAAGGAGCCAGGCACTGGATTTTCAAACCTGGTCTTGTGCAGGATGAAAAAGGCCACTGTACCAACATCTCTACACATGTTTTTGGAATGCTAAAAACAGGCACATGGAAGATATCAATCTTTAGTCACCTTGGGCAATCTGTGCTTGCATCTGGTACCCAGGAAATGGACCTACACATGCACTCCTCATCACTTCTCACCACAAGCTGTTTCCCAAACCAACCGATATTCCCAGCATTGGCAGTCACAGAAACATCTGGTCCAGTGACCTGTGTCCACTGTAGCCTCTCCTTCACATTCTACCTCACTTCCCAGACACCTGGCCCAGCTTAGGTGCTATAGTATGACTGACTATTGCACTCTTCCTAGGAAGACCAGCAGACATTGGCAGCTTTGAGAGGAGCTGGCAGGTCACCACTAAACCTGTTTTTATCTTCATCCTACGTGTTTACCACTGGTCTAGAGCAAACCCACTGAGAGGGCAAGCAACTAAACATTGAGGTTGTCATTTAATGCCACTATATGCTCAGGACAGAGATGAGGACAGTAACTGACGCCCCAGAAGTGAGAAGGAAGGTTCAAGTTCAGAACTTCTGAATGTGTGTGTTCCCTTGAGATGGGAACATCAGTGTGTAGTCCTGGCTGGCCTTCAGCTTAACATCCTCCAGCCTCATCCTTAGAGTCCTGAGATTACAGACATGTTACCTTGCCCTGTGTTCTACTGTCATAATAATGCCCTGCCTGTGAGGTAATAACCCTTAATAAGCACAAAAAAAAAATACTTAGAGATAGAAACTAAAAACTAGTTAAACCCAGGTGTGGCATATTGTAATTCCAGTACGGGAGGCTAAGGCAGGAGGATTATTAGTTCTAAGTTAGCCAGGACTATATAGAGCAAGACCCTCTCTCAAAACAAAACAAAAGCATTCAGATTAAGGCTTCAAGAGGAGACAAGAAGCACCCAGGCTCTTTGGGCCTCCTCACTGCAACTACACTGATGAGGGTAGAGACACAGCAATGGTCCAGCACCCACAGCATGCTTGGGGCATCCCTGGCTCACTGAGGCAAGCCGCCTTGGCATCTTACCTCAATGATCAAACAAGAACATGCTGGACTTAACAGGGTAATGTAGAACAAGTTTTTTAAAGCACAATTCAATCTTTTTGTTGTTTTTCAAGACGGTTTCTCTGTGTAGCCCTGGCTGTCCTGCAACTCGCTGTGTAGACCAGGCTGGCCTCAAACTTAGAGATCCACCCGCCTCTGTTTCCCAAGTACTGAGATTAAAGCAATGTGCCACCATAACCTGGCCAATTCAACATTTTTTTTTTTCTTTATGTGTATGGGTATTTTGTCTGCATGTAGGTGCTGAGTATTGAACTCAGGTCCCCTGGAGGAGCAGTTAGTGCTCTTAACCACTGAGCCATCTTTCCAGCCCACGTGGAATAAGCTCTAATTTCCTGATACTTCATAATTTTAAGAACTACTTCTTCCCCTGATAGCAATGTAATTTGGCAGTGAATTCTGAGAGAGAGAGAGAGAGAGAGAGAGAGAGAGAGAGAGAGAGAGAATACCCCCCATCAAAGAAATATCCAGCTGCTAAGCCTGGGAATGTTAGCAAATGGTATGACTTCAGTATTTCTACTGAACACAGTGTCCTGTCCCCATGGCCACTTCCTCGCCACCCAGGAGAGGGGCTCAGTGCTGCACACTCAGTGCTGCTACAACAGTTCCCCAGCACTCACGGCTTCCTGACACTAGGCATAAGTGGGGAGGCTACTCAAACACTCTGGCCTGGATTCAATACTGGAAAGGAGCCGGTGTGGAGCACACCTGTAATTCCAGCACTGGGTAGGCTGAGGTAAGGGAATGAGGGCTTTCAGGTCAGCCAGGGCTACATAGGGAGAATGTCTTACAAACAAACAAACAAACCATTAAACCCAGAGCTGTATGGTCCTGAAATTCCAATTCTGTCCCTATCCACAAAAGACTTGAAAGCAAAGTCTCTAAGAGAGATGTGCACACTGCGCTCACGGCAGCATTACTCTAAGAGTCACGGTGGAAACATGCCATATGTGCAGAGTGGGTAAACAGAGTGTGGCCTGTCTGTGCTGGGACACCTACCCTTCAGCCTTCAGAGGAAGAAACTCTGACTTATAGCCACAGCACTGCAAGCTCAAATGCTTAGAGAGAATGTGTCATGTACGGTATCTTCGTACGGTATCTTCATACGTGTGTGAGTGCAGTAGCATAAATGAGGGACTTCTGTGTTGTGGGGCACATGCATAACATGACACATGTCAACCCTGTGTGACGCCTTCGTTTTGGGGATAAGGTCTCTCAACGGGACCTGCAGCTCAATAATTATGGTAGGCTAGGTGGTCAATGAGTCCCCCATGGCTTCTGGAGATGTATACTTTGACACAATTACAATGATTTAAGAGAGAAGGCATTCTGTAAGTGTGGGTGAACCTTGAGGACTTGAGTCTCTGTGACAGGCCAGTCACATAAGAGCAAGTGCCATAAGATTATAAGATGTGCTGTTCTTGGAGTTAGCAAATTCACAGAAAGCAGATTGGAGGTTGCAGGAGACTAGGGGGAGTAAGGGAAGCCAGCACTGAGTGGGAACAGTCCTGCCAATGGATGGCATTTGTCATATACTGATGCCACTGAACTTTACACTAAAAACAGTAGAGTGGTGAACTTTGCCAGGCATGGTGGTACACACCTATAACCCCAGCACTTGGGAAGTCAGGCAGGAAGATAAGTTAGAGGGCAATCCGGCTACACATCGAAACCCCGTCTAAGAAGGGGGTTAAAAGGGCCAGGTGTAGTGGCACATGTTTGCAGTCCCAGCACTTGGGAGGTATAGTGGACCAGCTTTGGCCAAATGAGACCTTGCCTTAGAAAAAACAAAAACTAAAAATAATAAGTGAACTTTGTTATGTATATTTTACCACAAATGATCATAAACATAAAAACTACACAATTAAAAAGAAGACAGTAAGAGAAATGGCTAGAAAAGAAAACGGCCAGAAAGTTCCTAAAGTCCCTCCCACCTTGGTTTACAATGGCCTGCGCCTGCCCAGGGCACAGGCACACAGGGCTGTTGGGCAGAGCAGGGCAGAGGCGGTGGCTCACTTGTCAATGACAGCATTCTTTTCCTTGGCAGCATCAGCACGCATCCACTCGGCCCTGCGCAGCTGTCCCTCAAGGGCTTCCCCGTGGGCCTGGAGCTGCAGCACCCTGGCCTCCAGCGCTTGCAGCTGCTCTGCATGGGAGTCCTTCACTGCTGCCAGCACTGCGTCTTTCTCCCTGGCCTGATGGTCAAGCTCTTCATGTCTGAAACACAGGGAAGAGTCCCACTGTGGCTTACTCAGTGCCCTGGGACCTTCCAAAGTGTTAATCATCCTTCCTTACACTACAGTAGTCCCCGACAAGATGGATGACTGCAGGCAGCATCTGCCTACTTTCAGCATTGCAGAAGTAACGTGGGTGAGCTTGCTCTTCCTGTATAAGCAGCTATTCTTAGATGCCAGGCTCTTGGATGCCCCCCACCCCCAAGCTTACAAGACAGACATCAGAACAGCTTCACAAAGCATCCTTAACACACACACCACCTAGCTTCGTGACCAGCTGTGGAGAGCACAGATATTCCTTGCCTCCCAGAGGGGCATATCCCTGAAAGCTCCCCGAGTTTATCTGCACAAATCACGATGTGAGAAAACCCAAGAGAATTTATCTCCATCTCATCCTGTCTCCTACAACACAGTGTCTTTCCAGGCAGCCTAAGTGAGCAGCGGTCAGTTACTGTGTGTCCTCCCGAAGGGAAAGTCAATGATTCTTGCTTGCCCTGGGGGCTGAAACCCCAGCACTGAGCTTCTTCTAGCAGGGGCACTCACAGGCTCAAGAACCTCCTAAACCCACGCTAGCCTGGGGGAGGGGCAATGCTTCAATTGCCCTGTTAAAGTCCCCACCTCGAGCCAACACACCATCTACTTCCTGGGTGTCCCAGACATCTGGCAAAGTGAAGCACCTGCTGCTGTTGGCTGGGTCCCAACCTACACAGGTCACAGGGTATGTCAGCAGGAAGAGCTCAGAGAATCCACATCCTTGAGAGTAAGAGGTGGTTGTGTCAACATAGTAAAGTTTGGGACTACTATCTAAAACTTATAGTTAATAAAACATCCAAGTTGCAACATCAACTTTTAATTTTTTAAGTATTGATTTATTTAGTGGTGGGCATGTGTGTGGAGTCCTTTCGCTTCTTTAACTATGTGGGATCCTGGGGAGGGAACTCAGGTCACCCACTGTGGTAGCAAGTGACTTTATGCACAGAGCAATCTCACTCACCCATAAAAGCTAACTTTTAACTACAGCTATGCTTTTTTAAAAGTCTGTTTTGGCACTGGAGATTAAATCCAGAGTTTCAGGCATTCTAAGCTGGTGTTTTACCAATGAACTGGAATCCTGGCCCTTGAAACATTTTGAGTTTTGAGATGCCGAAGGTCTAACCATCTCTAAAGAAGTGGCACATGGAGGCAAAATGGTGTGTGAGCATAGGCTACCCATCACGGGACCCTTGTCTCCTCCAGCCACTATGACCCAGACTCTTCCAGAGATATCCACTCAGGCACAGATACTCACTTCCTCCTGAAGGTCTCCTCAGCTCTCTTCCTAGTCAGCTGTACAGACTGAAGCTTCTCCTCCAAGTCCTTTATCCTAAACAAAAACTGTATCAGTAAAGAGCAATTACCTCAGAGACCAAAGTGTAGGGCTGGAATAAGCCAGGAAGGCAGAGCCACCAGGATCTAGTCCTGACGGCCACAGTGCCTTGAGAGGAGAACCCACGCACCGAGCATCCTTCACAGCCTCCAGATTCTGGAGCTCCAGGGCATGGTCCTGTAGCTTCCTCTGTAACTGGCTGTGCTCTGCTTCTGCCTTCTGCAGACTCTCCGTTGCCTGTGCTGCAGCTTCTCTGAGAGCCTGCAGCTCTTTGTTTAGCAGTTTCACCTATGAGAGATTGAAAAGGTCCAGGAGAGGAGTTGGGTAGAGGAATAATGTGCTCTGCACCACAGGTGGCCACAGGAGCAATGGTGAACTGGAGGCTGCAGGCCCAGCAGGGACGTTTACCTTGAGCTCATGGGTCAAGACTACATTGCTCATGTCATCAGCCCTCAACTGGAACTCATGATCCCTTCTCTGCATTTCAGACTCGAACTCCTGCAGCAGCTCCTGGAACAAGAGGGTCAGGAGTGAAGGAGGGCAGTTACCTCAAACACCTCAGCTCAGGCTTGAGACCACTGTCCATCATGAATTGTAATTTGTTTGTTTGTTTCTGTTTTTTGTTTTGTTTTTCGAGACAGGGTTTCTCTGTAGCTTTGGAGCCTGACCTGGAACTTGCTCTGTAGACCAGGCTGACCTCAAAATCACAGAGATCTGCCTGCCTCTGCTTCCTGAGTGCTGGGATTAAAGGCATGCACCACCAACATCTGGCTTTTTGAGACAGCTTTTCTCTGTATAGCTTTGGATTATGTCCTGGCACTCGATCTGTAGACCAGGCTGGACTCAAACTCATAGACATCCACCTGCCTCTGCCTCCCAAGTGCTGGGATTGAAGATGAGCACCACCACTGCCTAGCAAATTGCTATTTTTAAATAGTATATACAAGGTTTTCTGTCCTATACACATAATAGTTACCTAAGGAAAACAATGACTTAATATTTTCCTACCACCATTCTTCAATATGTATCTTTATAGATCCTTGGTTTTTATTATGTTGCAATGTTTCATTTTTAAAATTGCTGTCTGGTGCCAGGCAGCAGTGGCAGATGCCTTTAGTCCTAGCTCTTGAGAGGCTGAGACAGGCAGATCTCTGAGTTTGAGGCCAGCCTAGTTTACACAGTGAGTTCCAGGACACAGGACAGCCAAGGCTACAGAGAAACCCTGTCTCAAAAAAAAGGGGGGGGGGCTGGAGAGATGGCTCAGAGGTTAAGAGCACTGGCTGCTCTTCCGAATCCCAGCAACCATATAAATAAATCTTTAAAAAAATTACTGACAGATCACTTATATTTCATTAAAAGAAATTATTAGATTGGCAGGATGGCTCCGTAAGTAAAGCACCTACCTGCACCTACCCGCACTCTGAAAATGTGAGCGAGATCCTTGAACTCTGAATGAGAGAATCTTACAATCCTCTAACCTGTACATACATGCCCACACGTCAAATAAAATGCAATTTAAAAAATTAATGGGGACTAAGATAGATGGCTCAGAAGTTAAGAGTGTTTGGTTTTTACAGAGGACCCAGATTCAGTCCTCAGCACCAACACTGGTCGCTCACACAGCCTGTATCTCCAGCTCCAGGAGATCCAACATCCTCTTCTGGCTTCAAGGTACCTGTACACAAGCATACAAATCTTCCCTCCATCTCTCTCTCTCTCTCATACACACACACACAAACACACATACATACATAAAATAAATAACATTAAATGAATTTTGGTTTGTGATTAGGATAAAAATTAAAAAAGAATTTCAGATGTATTTATATTTATTTACTTTATATATATTTATACTATTACATATATGACTATTTTGCTTGCATGTATGTCTGTGTACCACAAGTGTGCCTGGTGCCCTTGGAGGCCAGAAGAGGGCATCAGATCCCCTGGAACTGGAGTTACAGTTGGTTGCAAGTTGCCACATGGATGCTGGGAATTGAGCCTGGGTCTTTGCTCTAAACCATTGAGCCATCTCTCCAGACCAAGGACAACATTTATGAAATGGCTCTGAACAAATGTCTGACATTTTGTACTATATTTATGTAAAGCAGCCTTCTTATCATTGATATCAAAATATCAACCAGCTCTGAACAAACCTGAAGATGTTTCATGTTCTGCATGTCAAATAGCCAAGATTTAACAAGCACATCCATTTCATTAGTATGCAAATTAGCTTTCTTTGTTAATAAATGGTCAAATTAAATGTGAACTAAAGTTTTGTTTTTGTTTTTGACAGGGTCTTACAGGTAGCATTGCCTGGCCTGGAACTTACTATGTGATTTAAGAAATTAATATGTGTGTTTTGCCTGCATGCATGTCCGTTGCATGCATGTCTGTGCACTGCATATGTCTCTGGAGCTTGCTTGCGTCAGCTTCCTTGGAACTGCAGTTACAGACAGTTAGTTGTTAATAACTATCTGGGTAATGAGAACTGAACCCAGCTCCTCTGGAAGAGCAGACAGAGCTCTTAATTGCTGCTGCGCCACCTCTCCAGCCACAAGTAACTTGTTATTTAGACCACCTGGCCCTGGATTCAGAAACCCACCTGCCTCTGCCTCTCAAGTGCTGAGGTTAAAGGTGTGCACCACCATGCCTGGCTCCAAAAGAATTACTTTGTTTTCTTACCTGTATCCATTTGCATGTGTGTGTTTGCACATGTTCACAGTTGTGGCAAGGTCAGAGGGACACCTTGCTGTAGTTGTTTTTCTATTTCTACCATGTGAGTTCCAGGGACTGAAATCAGGTTGTCAGGCTTGGCGGCAAGAGCCTTTACTCACTTAACCATCTTGTCAGCCAAGAAATATTTTAAAATAAAATTATCTATGATTTTTGACCAGTAAGTGTGTGATTTGTACTTCTATTTTACACACACACACACACACACACACACACACACACACACACACCTGCATACAAAATTTCTCAGGTAAGTGGGACAGTGGTGGAGCACACCTTTAATACCTGCACTTGGAGGCAGAGGTAGGTAGTCTTTGACTTTGGAGGTCAGCCTGGTCTATAGAGTGAGTTCCAGGACAGCCAGGGCTACACAGAGAAACAGTCTCCAAAAACAAACAAGCAAAGTGGGTTGGTAAATGACACCACTTTGAGAAGCCTCTCTCTGAGGGACCGGTGTAGCTCCTGAGTTCAGTGAGCATGCAGGCTGCACAGTCTTGCTGCCAGGGCAGCATGCACATTGCCTTTCCATTTCTCTGCCATGATGACATCAGCCAAGGGGTCCTTGGATGATGAGAGTGTTTGCATTCTCCAGCTACCAGTGAACCAAAACAGGCTCATTTCTTTATTATCTAGTGTCAGGTTCCCCTCAGCTTATTTTGCTCAGCACAGGGCAGGAGCCCCTAGGAGGACTGAGTGCTCAGGAATTTAGGAGCTCCTCTAGACCTGGGCCCTGCCCTGCCCCACCCACCACCAGACTCTGGCCCTGAGGAAGGGCGGAGGGAGCACACCCCTGCCTCGTGAAGCACCATCCAGCCCTGGCAGACAGGCAGAATACAAATGTGTGCAGTGCATCAATTCTGTACCTGGAGCTGCTCACTCACCTACTCAGGAAACTGCAGAAAGCACGGCTAAAATTACGTTTCACCGTTCAATCCCTTGGAAGGTAAATGTGAAATATGAATGGTCACATGACTGACCTTGCTGGAATCAGAATATTACAATCATTATTACAAATTACAAAATCACAGGATATTGCTTAGTGGTAGGATGCTTGTCTGTCATGTGTGATGGCCTGGATTCTATTCCAAGCGTAGAAACACACTCTCTTATGTGAGCATTAGTTACCATTTCTCCTAAACACACATATATTGTGTGTTGCATTTGCTTGGCTTTAGAAAAGGCTAAGAGTTTTTTGTTTGTTTTGTTTTGTTTCTGTTTTTGCCATCTTACATTCTGGTTAAGGTTTGTTCAATAATAAAACTATATTATTTCCTTCTAAAAAAAAAGAAAGAAAGAAACACACACACACAAAGAAGGAAAGAAGGGAGAGAGAAGGGGAGGAAGCGAGGGAAGGGAAGGAGGAAGGGAAAGGTGGGTGGGTGGAGAGTTGGTGGCCCCAGAACTTTGGAGGCAAAGACAGACAAGTGCTAGCCAAGCCTGGGCTACATGTTAGGAATCTGTCTGAAAAGACTCAAACCAAAACCAGCCAACTAACTAAACAAACCAACTAACCAAACAAAGACAACAAATCCACAAAAATCACAAAACATCGGTTTTTCTGAACAAAAAAGTTCTGCGGGCTGTGGCTTCCAGACAGCAGGGATTTAAACACCAAGCAAGTGCTGCCATCCTCTGGTCCTGCCGGCAAACACGACATACAGACCCGTCCTGCCTCTACTGTGCCTTTGCTGTGGGGACACTTAGGACTTAGTGGTAGCTCCAGGTTCCTGCCCAGAGGTCTCTGGAGAAGGCGCAGGACCTCACACAATAGTCTGTCCTGGTTGTGCATGCCCTTGTCTCAACAACGAGCAGTCACCCTGCGTGCTCACGCCTGCCTGCCTGCCTCTTCATCAGCCCCATCAGGCATGTCAGGCCTGCCCCATCAGCCTACTGGCTACTTTTCCCACTCCTGAACCAGGGTATCCTCAATCTTGTCACTACTCTGTACAAATATCCAACAGTTCCCCAGGTTACCCAAGTTACTGCAAGGCCCTCCAGCCCGCCTGCACCTGGAACGCTCATTCCTCCTAGAAACCTGCACTCTAGCTCCCAGGCATTCCTGAGCACACAAGCAGGTGTCTGCGGGTCTCCTCCAGAGCTCCCTTCTGCACCCCTCCCCCAAGTAGAATGGCTCTCCTTGATCATTAACTCTACTTGAAAGTGAATCCAACCACACCCCAGTCCCACCCTCACCCTCCTGCCTCACCACATCCACCTAGGGGACACTCAGGTGTTCTTTGCTCTGTGAGGGCAGGCACCTCTAGGTATGACAGGTATTCATGCCCAAACTAGGACCTAGAGAGCTACCAGCATGTACAACACATTCAGAAACATTTTTGAAACGAATGAGCAAAATTTTTCCAATGTCTCAAGACCCTGTGACTAACCAACAAGAAAAATTATTTTCTTTGGTGCATTGTATGTGATAAAGTTAAACAGGTTAATGTTTCTCTTTGTGAGAGAAAAATTATTATTTCATTGAATCAATTCTACTTACAAGGCTGACCAACATGTGAGACTCTGGTCTAAAACAGAAAGACAAGCCCTTGAGGAGCAGGACCACACTTAAGCAACCCTCTCCTCACAACTATCGCCAGTGCCAGACCACACCAGGCTGCTATCGGCTGACTTGGGCTATAGCCTTGGGCTGGCTATTCCAGTCCACCTTGGGCAGATCTTTCCCAATCCTCCTGCAGCAGACAGAGCTGGAGTAGTACCATGCCCAGGTTTCTTTTCCCAGAGATAGGATGCCACCTGAGATGGCAGGACCCATG